CTATATGTAAATGTAGCTTTGGGCATTTTTCAAGTGTTTGGAATTTTATTGAAGTGGTTGTAATGTGAATTTTGAAGACAGAATCAGCTAAAATATTCTACACAGTATAACAACATTAATATGTATCAGAAAATGTAATAAAGAATTTGGGGTGATTTTGGAGCGATTATTTTCTGGAATAAGTCACTGTACTATAGCACAGGGGTATTAGTAAAATTTTGCCAAAAATGAAAAGAAAATAATTCCTCACATTTATAATTTTTTTGATACATGTACAACTGTACATGTACTTATGTTGCGTAGAAAGTTTGAGCTGATACCATTCAAAATTGGATTTTTAAAGAAATTCAACTACATGTAAATTGGGTCAAAGTCTCTGTACTATAGTACAAGGTCATTGGCAAAAAAACACAGAAAAGAAATTGGAAAAATCCATGGGCTATAGCCTTGGGTATTTTCCAGAATTTTCAATTTTTATTAAAATGGCTGTGTAACTTGAAGAATTGAAGTCAGAATCAGCTAAAACTTTCTACATACATGTACATGTAGCACAAGTACATGTACATCAATATGCATTCAAAAATGTAATAAAAATTTGGGGTAATTTCGTAGACATTTCTTGGAAAAAACCATGGACTATAGCCTTGGGTACTTTTTAAAATTTTGGCGTTTTTTTAATGGAATAGAAATAGAATCTTCAAATAATTGTCTTTCTGCCATCAACTCAATCGCTTTATGCTCAAGCTATTAATAATTGACTGACTAATAATGAACAACTATTGATAACTACCTTAGCTTTATCTACTTTAAAGTTAGCACTCAATAAGTTCAAATCTTTAGCTCTTCCTCCTCCTCTCTCTCCTCCTTTCTCCTCTTCAATTTTGTGTATTTTTGTTTCAAGTTGTTTCCTTAGTTTGCTTCTATTGTCATTTGTTTGTTGTAACTTGATGTCATTCCATTGAATATTGAACACAGTATCTCAATACTTTTAGAATAAATGATACTATTTTATCATTCTATAAAAATTAAGTATATTCACGTACATGTACATTAAAATTCCCAAATTCATGTAATAATTCATAATTTGACTAAAATTTATGTACAAGTATAAGTCCTTATACTATAGTACACCAAATTTTGCCAAAAATGTAAAGGAGAGAGTTTGCCATTATGATAATTTATTATGATACATATACAAGTTTTTACATGTATGTTATGTAGAAAGTTTGAGCTGATTTCAATCAAAAGTAGATTTTTTTACAAATTTTTAGTTGCTAAAATTTGGCAAAACATAAAAGGACAAACATGTACATGTACATACACTGACTGTGTGTCCTAACCTTGTTGTATTGGTACCTCAATATACAGTAGTTTGAGTCTCTGGGAATGTTTTGGGTAAATGAAACACATTTTTCTACCAACACTCTAAATAGTGAGAGACATGGAGATAAAGGATTAAATGTACATGTACAAATGTATATTCACTTTTGATGTCAATTCAATGTTTCTCAGCAAAGTTCTCATTAAAATCCTAAAATAAAATAAAAACAATGAAATGTAATAATATTAATTGGTTCATTTGCTTATAAATGGACACGACTTAAAAATTTTAGCTAGAATCGGCTTAAACTTTTTTAATGTAACAAAAATTGGGAATGATTTCAGAGCCATTTTTTGGAAAGAAGCAAGAACTATTATAGTCCATAGTGTTCTGTTACAGGCACAGCTGCCAATAGGCTATGTAGCGTCTAGGGCAAAAACTTTCATCGGCCTCTATACAGGTACGGGTACAGGACATATCGTACATGTAGTCTGGCCACCCAGACCCAACCCCTACGGGAGAAAGGTCTGGTACAATGCTTAACAAGACTTTGTGCAGAAGGAAGCCAAGAAATGTAGTTATTTATTAATAATAGTTAAAAGCACATGTTAATGATAATAAAGGATGCTTTCGAGTGCTATGATCAAAGTTCTCAGGAGAATGAGCTATTTGCCACTAAAAGAGGAACAAGATGACTTGCTTAACATGAGTCTGAATCGTGTTCCATCATTTCAACATTTCTTGCCTTGAACCATCAAGAGAATAAGTCCCCGACTAAGACTAGGCAGGACAGAAACCTTTGTTAGTGTGTCTAGAGCTCTTCTTATGGCCTGGTTTCCACAGTCAGTGCTCTTGTTATTTCAGTACAACATGCCATTTTTATACTTAACAATAACTACAATGAATATTTATTAAAATAATGACATCATTATGACAAATTGAATCTCGAATGGTTACATCGGATTCATGATGGCTGCACAAAGTCTTGTTAAGCATTGTACCAGACCCTTCTCCCTCAGGGGTTGGGTCTGGGTGGAATAGTCCTTTTTCACTAACGCCTTTTAATCATATTCATGATTTTACACTACACCCACGTTTAATTTTATAGCCATTTTGGGTGGCAAGATGGCATGGTGGAGATGGCAGAATGGAGTGAATCTAAGGAAAACTCACTTTCTAGAGCTAGTTTAGATGATCTAGCTATATCAATAGAAAGCCAAGGAACTGTCTTAACAATTATATGATTCCTGGATAGACACTGGCAGTAAAGTGTAGGAGCAGCAAAAGCTCACTACAGCGAGTTGCTGCATCCAAGTATTTGTTGTTTCTAAGTATTAGAGTTGGTAATATTATTATTTTATACTATGTATATGACAATTTAATACTCAGAAACTATTCCACAAACGTTTTTGAAGGTTTTCTTTATCTTGCAGTAGACCCCTTTCCTGTATAAAGCAGTATAAATGGCTACAATGACAGTATCTTTCCA